ACTTCATTTTTTTACGACCCTCGAAATTTTATTACATTTTTTGCAAGTGTTTATGACCCCCAATACTGTAGTGCCTCAGCTCGAACCAGATTCAGACGTTTTGTCTCGAAAAATTCATCTTCAATGTATTCGGTCCAAATTTATCTATTTTTTTTTAATTTATATGTTTATTGAATTATCGTACAGTTTAAGTGTCGTCAGACCCTGTGAAATCTACCTAGTTATTTAAACTACAATAAAACATTATTAGAGTTTTAATCCCCAGCTCATAGTTATTTATAGGTTCCTGGAGTGCTCAAAATTCGAACAAATTTCAATCTAATTTTTTTCAGGATATTTATATAATTACATCTGACATGCTCTTTCACAGTTGCGGTTACAGGTATAATAAATTCCGATCATATTATGCTTATCTTTATTTTCAACATTTGCCTAATCGAAAACGTTTTTGTATATTTACTGCAATTTTTTAAAGAATAATATTCATTTGGGTTTTGGTTGTTCATCTGCATTTTTAAGAATTAATTTGTCATAATGAAATTAAAATTGTAATAATGTTTTAATTTTGACCCAACAACTTATCGAATTAAGTGTGTATGACTAGGTGATAGGGATTAAAATCCTAACAATGTTTTAGTGTAACGTGTGATGGTAATAGTTTTAATAACTAGGTGAATTTCACAGGGTCTAACGACAGGGTCTTTGGGTGTACGATAATTCAACAAACACAAATCAAATCAAATCAAATCATTTATTGGTGTCTATACATTAAAATGTTTACACAAGTCAAAGAAAGAAAAACACGAAAGATACGACATATAAGCAATACTACACTAGAGCTAAAAAAACACATTCAGATAAATATAACGTAAACAGCATAAAAAAGTGAATATTACGAACATACATTAAATAGGTATCCAAAAACTGGTCTGCAAGGAACTCATCAAAATTGTGAAACGCTTTCCTCTTAAGATATTTTCTAATTCTGGCCTTAAAACAGTCTGAAATTAGTGATCGAATCTCAGATGGAAGTCTATTAAAGAATTTAATGCAAAAATAATTTGTGCCATCTCTGGATTTCTCTAATCTATGAAATTTAGGCCTAATATTGTGTCGCTCTCTTATATGTTGAAAATGAAAATTTTCTTGTCGAACAAATCTATTCTGATTATTTTTTATATAAATGAGACATTCAAATATGAAAACTGACGGCATTGTAAGAATATTTAGCAGTTTGAAGTCTAAATAAAAAATTTAGATAAAGGAACGAATACATTTAAATATGATTTAAAAAAGGCCTTTTCTGGAAAACCGTTGCAGATATCGGAATGAATTAAGTATATCTTTTTTCTGCAGAAATGGTCAAGGATTTCGATATGCGAAAAAAGAATTACGAATTTGACAAATAAAAAAAGTTACGAATTTTGAACCTTGGCTTGCCCCACATAGGGACGCCCCTGAAAACAATGTGTCAATTTGGTTTAGATAAAGTAATTTCTCGTAATAAATGGTACCTCTGTATAAAATTTTATCAATTTATTTCGAAGCATTTTCGAGATATTGTAATAAAATTGTGTCTTATGGCCCCCTTTAAAGGGGCGTAGCACCACAGGGGGCGTTTTAGGACACATGTCGATATGAACTTTTTTGCTCAAAATTACTTTATCTATCATTCGTTTTCATTTGGCACACCGGAAATGAAACACCCTGTATAAAACTATTTTATTTCTTTTTACCTTAAAGTTTGAGACACCTTGTATAAATCAGCAACACATGTACACATTACAGTGAAATAGACGAAAACCTTATAAATACAACTTTTTTTTTAAATCGCCGTCTTTTGTTTGAGTTACCACGTTTGCTTACACTTTCAAATATGCCGTATTCACCGACGCTTATTGGAAAAAATTCCTTCCACTATCACCGTGGTGACGAGCTAAACGGTTACGTTTTCCAAATGTTACCTTACACGCTTCGCTTTTTTGACAAACGTCTAAGGCATGGAAGACTCCTCCAGTCCCTTCCGCTTCAAACTCGACTTCTTTCGTCTTTATGAATGCATTCAAGCATTTAAAAGTTTTGTGTAGGGTCCAACAGTTGACTTTATTGGGCCTATCTCGGGGGTAGTAGAGTTGAAACTGCTACGAATTTTTTCATAGTTAACGCGTACAAACTCAATTAGGCGGCCCAGTTCGTCTAAAAATGGTGTAAATGTATCCACTCGGGAATTGTCTTCTGGCAGTTTCACTTCGAAGTTATAACAGCATTGTTGCCCTTCATTTAAACTTGTAGTGCTTGAATAAGGTCGTAGTTCTTCAAATAAGATTATTTGCAGACTTGCAGAATACTTCGTTAGCTAGTTCCTTTTATAGTTATAATAGTTTACCTTCTAGAAATTTTATGTCAGTCAGATAAAGGTTCTTCTTCTTTGCAAATATTCCTGAAGCTGTTAAGTTAGAACGATGTGTAGAACATATTAACCTAATGTCAGTGCTACTAAATATTTAATGTTGCTAATCACAAACCTGTATTTGAAATGATCGGCATGTCCACACGAGACATAGCAGAGTGCTACTTACAGTGCGGACCATTTTGGTGATGCATGTATTGGTATATTGGAAACTATAAGAGATAGGAAAATGGTTAAATGGGGAAAGTTTTGGACAGTTCTGTTACCAACTTAATGGTGGTTGCAGAATGGTCCTAGCTCTTCTGGTTTTTGAGTTATTTTGAAAAAAAGTAAATATGAGTTTTCGAAAATCGTATGTAACTTTTTTATTTAGAGGAATTTTTAAAATCTGAAAACAATTTTTCACAGCAAGTGCCACGTTCATTGCCACGTTTCGGTTGTGAGAAACCATCATCAACTTTCTTTTATTTATGGGCGCCATATTGAATGTTTAGCTGAGCTAGTAGAGATTTTTTTCGAAAACAACCTCAAAAATCAATATTTTAATATTTTAAATAAATTTGCCAACACCGCATAATTTTTCGAAACTAATTAAAGATAGTTGCAGTTCTATTATTTTTAATATAGCACTCTAACATAGGTTAACAATTAACTCTATGATTAACAAGAGGTCAGAATAACAAATAGTTTGAAACAAATGAAAATTTGTTATTATTATTATCATCGTCATGGCCATCACTATCATTCTTTCACTCCACGCTATGACATTAATGATAAGCTTTTACCAAAATTTGAGACTATTACTATTATTATTAGGTATCTTATACTTATACCATTAAAAAGCCAAAAAGCCTCTATTTGCTCAGCGCCCATAAGCAAAAAAAAATTAATTCTGGTTTCTCGCAACCAAAACGTCGCAATGAAAATCTATATGTACAGTGAAATTCCTAAAAAAAACTTGCTGCGAAAAATTGTTTTCAGATTTTAAAAACCTCTAAATAAAAAAGTTTCAGACTATATTCGAAAACGCCATATTTATTTTTTTTTTAAATAACTCAAAAACCAGAAGAGTTAGCCTATTAAGTTAGCAATAGAACTGTCTAAAACTTTTCTTATTTAACTATTTTCCTACCTCTTATAAATTCCAAGATATCAATACATGCATCACCAAAATGGCCCTCACTGTATATGAATGCTGCTAGTCAATGCTTAGATACGGCCACACTGACTGAAAACACGACCTGGTGCCAACTAGACGAACCAATTTTTAACTCATGATATTGTGAGAAATAAGTACTTTCGGGCTACATGCCCGACCAGCCGAATCCACCAAACATATACCGGTTTCGGAATTATTATCAGTCTGTGGTTAAGACATAAAAAATAGTTGGATCATTCGTCGGTTGTCTCACCTATGGCGTACTGCTGAAGGCTAATTTGAAACCGGGATTTGCTGGGGAGTATAATTCAATATTCAGAGAACGTAGAGTAATTGTTTCCTGTAATGTCCGTAGCATGTCCACCTGATTCAATTTGTATAATTATTTAAGTAATTAATTTTAATGGGTAATATTTTATCTAAGTAATTCTTCTTTTAAAATGGTGATTTTTAAGTTAAAAATAACGTAATTATTTTAAAGTTTCTGTTATGTGTTATAAACTACAATTTATTGACTAAAAGAACAAGATTCAGAAATAATTAAAAATGTTTGAAGGGAAGTGAAGAATAATGGGATTTACTAGTAATTGAAACTATCGACAAAGTACGTATCCTTAGCGGGTAACGAAATTAAGAGGTCATTCCAAAATATATCAACAAATTCAATATTTTCAGATTCAATTGGAGTTACAAATAATATGTACTTTTTTTCTATGCAATTTCCCACCTTCTCAGTACACTTCTGATACCCTTGCACTAATCTTTTTCAATACATCGGAAAGAAATTACGAAACATCCTTCGACATGAGATTAAAACTAAGGATAGCACAGACTGGAAATATCTGAAATTTCAGTATCCAAACAGAACAGAAGTTACATTTCTGTGTGGGGGTATACAATTTCATGAACGAAATAAAGGCTTTTACGCGAAAATTCTCTACGTTATTTTCACATTGCTAGCTTTATCACCTCCTCTAAAAATGCACTTATCAAACATTGATTACGACACCCTTTTTCTGTAAATGTTTCAGGGTAGATCCATCCACATCTCAGAAAATAAAGAAGTCATTCATTAACAAAAATTTAAGCTGGAACTTCTTGATTAGAAACTATATTTGTGTACCATTATACAAGACCATATTGAACAGAATATATTCCCTCCCTAATTTTAAACATCTCAATATCGCTTTTATAAACTATTGTCAATTTAAATTTTTTAATAGCCTCTACATATTCAGCACCACCTTGAAGATGGTAGTTCTTACTAGATTCGTTTTGATAGGAGATTTCAACTGTTTTCAAGTCATCAAATATTCGATTATTTATCATTAGACTTTCAGTGAATGCAAAAACAAAAACTAATTGGTTTCAAACCAGTTCTTCACTGCTGAAAAGCCAAATTTACTAATCACTATTTCCGTTGTTTTTCAGAAGGACCTTTCCAATCTGACGCCCTCTTAGTACCAGAAAACTGTATGTTCGACCACATCCACAATCAGAGCAACTGTTGGACCTTCGCAAGGTGGAACTCCACAGCCGGTAATGCCTGCCAAGAAAAGGGCCTGCAGCTGAGATCATTCGCCATGCTTTTACCTTGTGGCATTTCGTTATTTAGCGGAGTTGAATTCGTCTGCTGCCCCAAACATTTAAAAGGTAAGAAATATTTATTTAATACCAATATTGTAAAAATTATTGCTGTACTCTTGTGTACACACCACAGAAATGAGACAACCCCCAAATCCAAAAGCCAAAGGCTTGTGCGGAAGGGGGCTACACCCGGACCAGAGTAGGAAGCCTAGCCGAGAAATGCTTGCCATCGCACTCTCGACCGACTGCGTTACCGTGGCGATAAAAGAAATGATACTTTGATAACTATTTTTCCTTAATATGCTCGTATTATTAACTAAATTTCAAAGTTGTTGGACAAATGATACTTCATCTGCCAAAGTAGAGCTCTAAATGTACTTTTTTGCTACTGAGTTACAAAAAATGCTGCCTATGAGATACGAATAGAAAAGAGAAAAGTTAAAATAAGTAGATCCCTCAGCCAATAAAGACGCGGTAATAAAAAGAATCAATTCATTGTTTCACTTGTTTTCGAAAACTAGGAAATTGCACTCTGTTATGGATGCAGAAGATGTGTATAAGCCAAGTCTATGATCTTGGAACGTTCTCTCTTATTTATTTTCCATTTTCTTGCTACAGCCGCAAGAGCAGTCGCATACAATAACAGCTCATCAGCCATATTGATTTTTATAATTGAACGCAAATTGATGCAACAAAACTGAATAGTTAGTGATCAAATGACGATTTAGTTTTAACGTACAATTTAAATTCGTGCAAGTAAGTTGGTGTGCATAATGGAGCTGTCCCGGGCTTAAGATTCAAAAGTTTCTCATTTGCTTAATAATATGTATAAAATATTCATTTATTTTGGCCATACAATACACTAATGTAGATATGTTATTAGTTTTTGGATAGTGTGAAGGAAATGGTCGAGTGTGTCAGAGAGTACTCTGAAAAATTTTCAAATCATCGTATACCAAGCCATCCAACGTTTGCTGCTGTGGAGAGACGTCTTCAGGAAACCGATCGCTTTGCTCCTGAAACCGTTGATTATGGAAGGCAACGTTATGTAAGGGTTCCTGAAGTTGAACATGATATCTTGAAGAAGACGCGGAATAACAACGAAATGATTAAGTAGAGAAATAGGAGTATTTAAAAATATTGTTAATCGTGTACTGTACTTAGAGAACGGTTGCTACATCCATACCATAAGCAGTCAGTTCAAGACCTCTTACCCCATGATCCTGACAGACGTCTAGGTTTTTGTTAATTTGGTAATGGGCAAAGAGAAATGGATTTCCACTTTGGAAACAATATTTTATTTACCGATGAAGCATGTTTCACAAGAAGAGGGGTAACTAATTTCCACAATGAACTCGTTTATGCAGACGAAAATCCGTACACAGTGAAAGTTAGACATTTTCAACACGAATTTAAAATTAATACGTGGGCAAGAATAATTGTTGGTCCATTTTGCCATAGAGATTAACGGGAGAAATTTATTTGGAACATCTACAAAATACGTTGCCAGACTTGTTACAGGATATAAGTACCTCTACAACTTCGGAGAGATTGTTGCTTATACATGATGGGGCTCCACCACATTTTTCGTAATTACTTAAATCAATAGTACCCAAACAAATGGATGGGTAGAGGTACTGACGCTCCTGTAAATTGACTACCGCGTTCTCCCGACTTTAATCCATTGGATTATGTTTTATGGAGTCATCTTAAGTCCGCAGTTTACATGACATCGGTAGAAAAGAAAGAGCAACTACGGCAAGGTCTTCAAGATGCAACCAAATACTCTTAGAGGCGACGAAGAAATTATGCAAAGTGTACATTTCAATTTTTTCGTGGTGTAAATCTTTGTATGCGTGTAAATGGTGGCCACTTTGAACAACTACTATGATATCTTTATTTATTTGCATTTATGTTTTCCTAATTTAATTTTTGTGTCAAAATTGTTGCCAATGTTTAAAATTAAGTACAAATTTCGAATAAACCATGAGAGTAATCGAGTCTTATCAAGAGTACCTTTTTTGTAGTAAATAATTTACTTAATCTAAAGTTTTATACTAAAAATTATTTTTTCCATTGGCGTGGAATTATGGGAAGTGTAATTACTAAAAAACCCAAGTTCTACGCCAATGGATTGATATTACTCATAATTTTGATATGGGATTTATTGTCCTAGCCGCGATAATTTTTAAGATGCAAGCGCACCAAGCGGCGAAAGTAGTAAGCTCCGAAACAAGGTAATTTTGACATTGCCGTTCGCGTTTACACATTCATTTGAACAACATTTGTCTTATTTGCCATTATTATTAGTAATTTTGTTATCAAACTGCGGTTATTTCACTTTTGTGTTATCTATAGGTTTCAAATATTTCATAAATAAATTTTAAGGCAAGTATTTGTCTACTTTATTTGTCTCTAGCATTACAATGTAATGTACATTTTATTAAGTTATAACTATGAACTTATCCGTTGTGGAATACATTTCCTATTTACATATATGCTAACGAAAACTCTTGTATATTAGAAGGAGAGGCAGTTTTTAAGGCTGATCATGTGGTACTATATGGGAAAATTGAGCAAAGTTAATTTAAATTTAGAAATTTATATTATGTCTGCAAACTAGTGCCCTTACTTACTAACAACCCTCATGAAATTCAGGGAATATTATCTATCGGCAATAATATTTTGAAAATTTCTTCAATGGTTTGATGAAAACTTAATTCTGGATTTTTCTTGGACCATGAAGAGCAACCTTGAACTGAACAATGATAGTTTGACAGTTTCTTCTTTCTATCCATAATTGCTGAAAATTTCCTCATACTATTTTCTTAAAATAACAGTGTTTAAAAAACGAACACTAAATTCAGTTTTAAATAAAATACAAAACGAAATGTCCCACACAGAAGAAATATTTACCTTGTTTCGCTAGTATCACTTGTCATCGCCAGAGGGCGAGCTCTTAGCTGCATTCGCGAATAGAGCTATGAAACTTATCAAATTTTAGCAAAATCGCATAAGGCGTTTTAAATTTAAATAAAAAAAAGATTTATAAATTGCAACTTCAGGGCCGTTTACCGCCCAAAGGAGCAATTTTGAACTAAGGTAAGTTTAGCTAAATCGACTTACTTTGAGCAGCACTGTATCGGGTGGAGCGTTGTAAAGACCTTTTAGGGACGCCTTGTATAAAGAAAAATGGCAGACTAATGTTTTAGGAAATTTTGTTGCGGTATTACAGAATCAAATCCTGGGAATTCCTCATATTTCATGCGTTTTCACATTAGCCACAAACTAAGTACAAAATTCAATCCTATTTTTTTTGCATAAAACAAGAAGGCTTGGATGCAGAGCACATACCGTTTGTAAGACATTCCAAGCTTTACAAGAATTATTAGATAGGTACTCAGACCTTGTAATCTGTTGGTTTTTGTTTTCAATATTTATTTATTAATATTTTCACATACGATAAATTCACAAAGATCACAGATCTTTGTCAGTAATAATGGAAACCTTAAAATTGTAATGTTTTGTCTTGTAACACGTGCTTCTATTTAAAATTGTCGTATATATACCACTGAATACGAAAACAGGGCATGGATCTTATTATTCTCAAGTACCTTAGTACAGGAAACCTGGATTACTGCTATAAACTCACAGGAAAGGTTGCTTATGCATGCAGAGGTTTCGTATATTCAAAAAATCCCTTCTTACTTTCGATTTCATTTTACGAGCCGAGTCTGGTAGGCGCGTGTTCAATAGTGCTGGTTATGAAGGTCCGTGTAACGTTATTCTTGTCATGTTGTCAGGCGGATGTAATTCTTTAGTCTCCCAAGTGGCTGGCGTAAGAATTGTATTTTGTCGAAGTAGCAGGCGTGTTATTTACATTACATTCTATCGAGCTAGACTTCGGCTGAGGGACTGTAAACATCCTTACGTAACTTGTCGCTTCTATTCTCTTAAAGTTGATAGATTGCAGTTTAAACTATATGGACGGTTTCAATCGGTCGAATGAAAACGTCATGAACTTTAAACTTGTAAAATAGTAGTTTTTATTGTGTAACCATGAAGATAAAGGTAATCAACAACAATCTACTAATATTCATTACGATCTGAACTACATGAAAAAAAAAAACAATAAAATTTGTTGATATTCCAAGAAAAGAATAAGCCAATAAAATTCTGTTATCGGAACTATTTTAACAGTTTACCGCAGCAGAGGTTGGAAAATTTGTCTTGAAACAATTAATTATACATGTTAAACACTCTTCGACTGGGAATTAAATTCATTTCCTTTATTTTTCACCTCCATTAATTTATTTTTATAAGAACACTGAAAATGCACAGGTTTATACACGTACGAAAAAACACGCCTTTGTAACTCCAAAACACAGTATGCACCTTAAAACACTATAGCAGCGAATTTGCCAAAAATTCCTTGCAAGTTTTCTTATCCGTTAGAAAGAGGAGCAAATAATTTGTCTAGTAATTAAGTAGAGGTTTTGTTAATTAGAAACTTTTAAATTCAACTTGATCGGCAGCGTCGTCACTGTGAAGTTTATAGGATGATCCCCTATACTCCTCTCTACACCCTATTATCGTGAGTTGGGATGCCGGAGTTAAGCCTATGAAAAGCCATTTAATTAAAGTATCTAAGTTACTAATACGAAGACCTCCATACTATTTCGCGTGTGATTGGAGCTTCAATTCACATCAGTTAATGCCACTAACTTCTAGTCTAAGTGAATTGTTAATATCTAATAGGTATTTCGCAAGTGTTTAAAGTAATAATCATATATTAAACGTTCTGTTTTGCGTAAAAGTGATTGAATCTATACCAATGTGTAAATTAACAGAGTAGATAAAAATCTTGCTCGAAAATGTCTTAATCTTTGTACGTTCAATTAATGGACCACCTTCGTCAAAAAAAATGGTTAATAAGTGACATGATTACACAGCACCACAAAATAAAAAAAATTGGGTGGGACCTATAGTAAAGGAAAATTTTTGTTAAGCTGAATATGAAAAATCTGACTAATCATCAATATCTAGTGTTTTAGATTCTATAGTAGCATCATATTCGATGCAAAGTAATAAAGCATTGCCTGTGAAGAGATCCAGTGCAGTACGATTTTAAGGGGTTAAAAAATTGAAAAATTTCTTTATTCATTATGGATTAACAATTCTCAGGCCTGCAAAAAAAACACTTCAAAAAAGCTTTTTGAATCTTTATAGCTGATTTTTTATAGTTTCTGGGGTGGTAAATCCGAATTTGAACTCTGTTAATTTGTGTCGCCCTCAGTTTAGTTCTAATTCAATCTAGTTAGATATGACAAAATATTCTAAACATGCAATAAAAATGAAAAGTAATCAGCATTTAACGTGAACACAAAACTTTACTTGAAAATAGAAGTACATTTTATATTCTTAATACTAGATTTATGTGTCCGTTTTCTCTTATGCGCTGTTTGCTGACTCTCTCGATGAAGCGACAGAGCATATTGGTGTTCCAGCGTCCTTGATAGCGTTTTTCCATATGTTTAAATGTGAACAAATGATGGGTGATATGGCGTTTTTAATGTTATTTTTGGAAACAAATCTATAAGAATCACATTTTCTTGTTTTTTAAAGTCTAATTTGTGAAAGTATTTGTCTTTATAGAAGCTACTCGTTTATTTAAAACTGTATTTTAACTTTGCCAGCAACAGCACAGCACTATTAACACCATATTTGAATTTAAAAACTACGCGGCCATTTTAGTTTTCATCTTTAGCCCAAGGTCTGCAGACTATAATCTGTAAGATGATATTTATGTGAGTATGTTAAATCTCATCACTAAGTTCTTACATGCACATACAGGGTCCACAAGCACTTGTTTATGAGCTCAAGCCCAGAACACTGGAATAATTGAAGGAAGCGATTCGCGTGGAAGCCGCCTAAATTGACCGACGAATGTTGGAATGAGTGGATGCCAACTTCAAAGAACGCCTCCAGAAGTGCATCTCTGATCGTGGCCACCACATGACAGATGTGATTTTCCAACTTGATTTTCTCAATTGCTATGAAAAGGCGAACCAGAATCTGCCAATAAATTTTTTTTGAGGAAAAATTAACAATTTTATGATTTTTTAAAAACCGTCCGACCTTTCTGCCGGACCCTGTACAACTGAAAATGTCTATGTTTACTATTGCAAACATGCACATTTTTTATTCTGGTCTGATGAAACACCAAGAGATTTTCAACTGGAATATTAAAGTCTAGATGATTTATTCCTCAAATATCCGGGAAAATAATGAAAAACCAAAGCAGTTACGGATTTGCGTTCTAATCCATCTCCCTGGTGTGCGTCGGAGGGGTTGGCCCTGTTGTATACCACCGAAACCACATATTGCCAGCGACACTCGACCGTCTCCTTTATGCTTCGGGGAGATTGAATTTCAAATCCGGCTCGTCCGCTCTGTGCGTTATTTTATTGGTCGTCAGCAGCGCTGCAAATCAGCCGCTCGAATGACCCGCAATTCATCGCAGACTTTAAATAAATATTCCACAAATGAACAGAAATACCATTTGTATTCGTAATATGTGCACCAGTTTGGGAGAAACCTTTTATGTTGCACGCTATTATAAAAGTCAATATTTCCCATATTTAAGGCAGGAATTTGGCAGGATTTATATAGAGCAGAGATCAGAACAAGCAGACTATTGTAAAATAGATGTTATTGTTGGTATTGTTACCTTTTATACATGGGCCATCACAAAGCAGTTATCTCGACAACAGCCGGGTCATTCGTCAGAAATTAAGAGGGTATATGAAACAAATAACAAAGTTACTGTTCTGTCAATAAAAACAAATAAATAGGTAACTCACCGGGGGGTTACACTCCCCCTAACCTTAGGATTCAAGGTATATCCTTCCATACGTTTCCATTACATTAATTAGCAACTATGTATCATTCTTTCTTCAACAACTAGCTAGTGTCACCTGAAATAAGTCGAGGCTCCCCCTGACGCCAACTAGTAAGCATCCCAACTACCGGGTGTGTGAGTCATATTATTATTATTATGCCACCTACCTCAACACCACCCAGTATGTGTCAATCAAAGCGCATGTAATACCCCGTAGAACTTACAAGACACACTTTGAAGGGACCACAGCCATAAAGACCGAGAACACGTGGCATGCCCTGGGGTTTTCAAAATCATAAACGAGTATGGCATATTACTCACTAATTCACAAATCATTGCAAAAATATATTCAAGCTAGCACACAGATATAATAATCGACCTTATTCGGGCGCTGGCCATGCACCACTGTCTCAAAGAACACCTCTCTCACTTTCGGCATCCTGAGCTACATTTCTGTATATACTCATAAATTACATTATCTCAAGGGCACATAAATACTTGGCTGGCGCTTTCAGTGTATACAGCTGAGGTTTGATTCAAAATAACCACGATAGTTTAATTTCATAATAAAATATATATTGATTCGTATTATTACAATGCGTTAAAAATAAACAAGTGTTACACTATATGTAAACGGTATACATCGGAATTCGCTTTTGATATTTATCGTCTAGAGAGTAATGGAAGCTTTACAAAATTCCAAATCGTTCTGACAAACATATATTCATATGTTCGTATGAAGATAGCAGCAGAACAGAGTTATGTCTAATTTCTAATAAAACTCTATCCATATTAAAGGATTACAAAATAACACCATAAGCTTTATTTCTCCAGTGCATTGTATATATATCGACTCCCATTCTTCTGGAATCCCCATTCGAGTCTGGAAAGTTTATGAAAGTTTAGTTGAGGAATTAGATATCTTCTCAGTACTAGACTCTGACATTAACACATTTAAAATTTGAAGTACTTCTTATTGTATGTCCGGTATTTCTTTGATGCAGTAGGTTGCCATTCTCTTTTCAACGCTATACTATGAAGTGGTGGCAGATTTAGCAAGACTGCGAGACAACTGTTGAAATCGACGCTATAACTCCTCTTATACCGATATGGGCTAATTTCTGAAATTTATTCAGATTCTTTTTTGTACTTTTGTAATGGTTTGTTAGACTTTGGGCCACCAAGTGTGCTTCCTTAGTTTCAGTTATCAGGATTTAGAACACGATTAAAACTGGAACGAATCTGCCCAGCCTTTACCCTACTCCTGAAACTATGTAAAGAAAAGGTTAATTTTTTCCACCAATTTTGATACCATTATCGTGAGTACATTTTCCCAATGTATAAAATGAACACGAATATCATCACAGGTCAACCAAATAATTTGGATTTCTAAATTTATAACACTGAAAGAATATCATCAACCTTATTACTTTACACGATGTACACATGTATTCTATAAATTCTACATGCCGACAATACGGCATAAGTGAATTTACCTCTTGTCGAACATCTGATATGACTCGAGGACCATGTAATGTATGGGCACGACGTGGCACGTATTTAGTTAGTGCTGTTTTAACTGTACAATTGAACCAATGTGAAGTTTTAGAAGTTTTATCAAATTTACAACCTCCATGCATAGTCACATCAGTCATCATTATCATCAGAAGACCGGCTAAAATAATTACCACTGGTTAAAGTTATTAGAACAAATAATATTGAAGTATGAACCTGAAATTAATCTACCGAGGACACATTCGAAGAGCAATATTTAACGACATTATCATAAACGTTGAAAACAGTTTCCCGTTTGTCAAAAAACACAAGAATAACGGTGTTTCTTAAAACGATTGTTAGTGCTTTAGGATCCTTCAAACATTGAACGTGAAACATAATTTTTGGTCAATTACTCAAGAACCTTTGAAGATATAGATTTAAAACTTGGTATAGCTCCCACACTGCTGCTACATACTCATCAGATTAGATCAAAACCTATTGAGCAATCATTGCCGTCGGAGTTACAAGGGAAGGAGCTTCAACTGTCAAGAAAAGAGTTATTTGATATCGCAGATTTGTGCAAAACCTCAAGCTAAGTTATACTGTTTTTCACCTATAACTTAAAACAAGTATACTGTCAGGAGGCCACAGTGGCACCATGACGCAGATTTGACTAATTTGCGGTAGAGTTGATCTACCAATATGAAAATCACTGTCTTTGCACTGGCTAGAGGCACTTGAGTTTGACAGTGTGCAACCTCCTTAAAGTGCGTACGTTTACATTTAGAAGCTTTGCAAGAATTGCAGCGTAAAAGCTGTAGGTATATGGTATTTTTTAGGAGAATTTATAATTCGAAATGCGGTTCATGAGCTTTATTGATTTACTTGCAATACAATGTTTGCAACGCGATTGTTGCTAGATAACAGAAATCCTTGAGATTCGGGTCGAGTACACACTTTGTCCAGGTATCCGTGCTCTAGTTAACAAGCTGCAGGAAACTAGGGTTGGTGTTCGCACATTGACTGTTGTGCCGTTTAGTTTTGGAATCGGAAAAACTGCATCCTCGGCAAATACAGCCGCCTCTGAAGAGTTGAAGGTCTAACACTGGTGTGGGTTAGTACCGACTCTAAGGTCATTTGAGGGTGTGAATTTGAAATCCTTGTGATGTTATTTTTGTCATTTTTTGGAAAATGGGTTGAAAAATTTTGACGCCTTGCACTCGTCGACGACCTCCGAGAGATAGTAGCATACGTTGTCCTGGCCGTCCCGGGAACGGAGGACTGACTCTTGGCAGCAATCGTCTCATCGGGGTAGCGTGGCGGGTAAATTTTAAAAACATCGGTGAAATTTTTCAAAACATCGGTGAATTTCTTCGTGATTGGAGGCACGCAGCGCTCGGTCGTGGGCTTGTAGTATTGTCGTGGATGACTCTGGTACGATTCTGGCTGCAATCGCGACGTCTGCGGAGAAAAATCGGTGAAAAATTGAATTTCTTTTTATTCCTATTCTACGGCGGAAACTGCGCTGAACGCGCTTCTTTTGTAAAATTGTTGCAAATATTCGAAACATAGGCGATTTTCGCCTATAATACTGTTTTCGTGACAATATTTACATATAATATATTTTTTACAGATAACATGAAACCCAAAAAGCCTGTCGACCTGGCTATTCTGAAGAAAGAACAGGAAGTCTTTGATGCCATAGATGATGACGATGATGACTCTGATGAAGAGGATGATAAAGACGACTTGGACGACCTTGCTGACGATACTGAATTGTCCGATGACCCTAATATTGATGATGAAGACGAGGACGAAGACGATGATGACTACGACGATATTGACTGGGACACAACTCCATCAAGTACCACCATAGCTTATAAACCATTAGCATCATCTACAACTACGACTCCTAGTACCACAACAACTACCAGGACTACAACTGTTGCCACTCCAGATCCATATTTCACTCATTTTGATCCAAGAAATGAACATGAAAGTTACAAGGAAGCTCAGGTAATATTTGTCAGATGTTTTCCTCTTCCATTTATAAGTTCAATTGAAAACTTTTATGCACTTTTGCCAATAATCTAAGATTTAACGTTTCTAAGAAAATTAACTTTGCTGATGAATGAAATCAAATGTTTCAATTTTAGGAACGCCTTGAAGAAACTCATCGTGAAAAAGTCACTAGGGTAATGAAGGACTGGTCAGATCTAGAGGAACGTTATCAAGACATGAGACAGACAGACCCAAGAGGAGCAGATGAATTCAAACAAAGAATGACACAAAGATTCCAGCAAACTGTTCAGGCACTTGAAGAGGAAGGTGACGCAGAAAAACACCAACTTGCCGCCATGCATCAACAAAGGGTACTAGCTCACATCAATCAAAGGAAAAAGGAAGCTATGTCTTGCTACACTCAGGCTCTAAATGATGATCCACCAAATGTAAGTTTAGAAAATTCATAAGATTGTTAACTTTTGATCTATTTAAATGTTTTTAATCTTTTTAGACCCATCGTGTCCAGAAATGTCTACAAAAGCTCCTGCGTTCCCTCCACAAAGACCGTGCTCACGCTATTAGCCACTACCGTCATCTCTTGGCTACTAGCATAGAAGCAGCAGCCCGTGAACAACCAAGAACCCTCGAACGCCTTACTGACATTGACCGAACCGTAAACCAAAGTATGCAGATGCTCAAAAGATATCCAGAATTATCTGCCAAAATTGGACAGTTAATGGATGACTATATTCAAGCTCTTAGGTCAAAAGATGAAACACCTGGTTCACTTTTAGCTATGACCACTGATGCCGAACAAGCGATTTTGGATAAATTTAAATCAGAAGTTGCCTCAAAGCAAGCAGAAAGAGAAAGGCAAAGGATTCAAGAAAAAGAAAGGAAAGAACAGAGGAAGAAAGAAAGGACTGAATTGAAAGAAGAACAAAAACGTGTTGAGGAAGCTCTTGGCAAAAAGATTAGCAATTTTGATGATGAAGATATGGAAGATGAATCTTTACCAGAAGAAAAACTTTCCGTAAGTGTACTTTAAAAATTTGTGCAAATGTATTGTATGAATTATTATTTTTTTATAGACTACAGTTTCTCCAACATCAGGCAGCACATTTTCTGAAATTATGAGCAATTCTGTAACAGCTACGGTGGGACACAAGGAAGTTGACGATGCTGCAGTTCAAGAAGCTGTCGAAGAAGTCGCTAAAGCTGCATCTCATAAACAGGATATCATCAGAGTTGCTCACTTGATGAGCCACGATATTGGTCATGGTGAACCTGTAAGTTTATGATATAATTTTTACTTTGTGCAAAATGAGTAAACGAGATAATAATAATTGTACACATTCTGTCATAAAAGTATCAGGAATGTGATTTAAATTCAGCGTAGATTTAAATTTGTTTTTTTGATGGAAAGTCCATGGCGGAATATATGTTTAAAGCGTACTTTGACAACATTGTTCATTGGAAATGTATATTGCTTCAAGTGGAGCCTATTTTGAAGGGGACAAAATAAATTTTGAATAGTCATTGAGGAATACAATTATACAATGTTCACCTTTCATCTTTTGAATAAATGTTGAATATCTCATAACATATTTTTTTATCAAAATTGTGTTAACATAACTTTATAATTCTTATTCTAATTTTATGTACAAAATTATGAAATTCTAGATACAGAAATCTTTATTATACTTATTGAAGGTTAAGTAAAACTAAATAATATTTTCATTCTATTGAAAAAATCTTATTACCTTATTTATTCTTAATTGAAGTAGAAATAATAAGCTTTAAATTCATAGTCAGATTCATATAATGTCAATATGCTTTACATAAAATATTAAGGATCTAATTTTGTAAGTGGCCACAATAGTACAGAAATTTTGCTAATACCAAACTGGATTTTTGGAATTCCAATTTGAATGGACCTTTAGCGACAAAATAAAATTTAAATAGATTTTTTACGAAAATTTCCAAACGGTGCGAAATATTTTTATGAAATTTGGTATTCAGGGGTTTTTAAGGATGCCAAATACAATGGTCTAATTATTATTTGTATATTTCATAGAGGGCGCTAGTTATGCTACATTCCTATTACAATTTAAGTTATAATTTTTTTAAGGTTAGGTTTTTACCATTCAGGCTCCAACTTCTAATGTACAATTTTATTTTCTAAAAATAATGTACTCTTGTTAGAACTTCCTAATGTGGACGGTTTTCGAGAAAAAAGTGACTTTTCTCAAAGTAGGCTTATGTCAAAACTTATTAATGGATGTCTCATGAACAACGCATACATTCTTAGTAATATTTTAAACTCTAATTAACCTTATATCAAAATTTTGGTGATTGTTAGTGACTGTAATTAGTCATTACTAACTACAAGTAAATAATTAGACCAGCGTATTTGGCATCCTTAAAAACCTCGGAATACCAAATTTCATAAAAATATTTTGCACCATTTGGAAATTTTCGTAAAAATTCTATTTAAAAAATTTTATTTTGTCGCTCTGTATCTCAAAAACAAGAGGAGATAGACATATAGTTCATATGACAAAAAATTATTATTTTTTGTCGTACTATCACCTCCTGAATTTACAGGAAATCTTTCTAAAACACCCTTTATACAGGGTGGGCCATTAGTGTGAGAAAGTAAAATAACTCCCTTGTTATTCATAATAGAGAAAAACAGTGTATATAAAAGTTATAAAGAATCAAAAAACCTAAAGGCCAAAATTAATTTGAAACACACAGGTCGATGAGTAAAAACTGGACACGCCAAATATTACATTTTTTAAATGGAACGCCCTGTATATTTTTTAATATGTGGATTTCTGAGAAAATACTATATATGGCAATATCAACAGTGTAACATTTTAGTGAGGGGTTGCCAAGTTATGTAGAAAATTCTTCGAATTTTGGAAAAAACATGACCTAGAAGAAATTGTATTAACTTTCAACTACTAACACTTGGAGCAAAAATATTTGACAGCGTTATAGGCAAATGTTAGGCAAAGACTCTTATATTAGCTAATATCGATAGTTTATACAGGGCATTTTTTATAATACGATCATTTTAAGAAAGTTCAGATTTGATTTTCTAAAATTTTTCAGATCCTGCATGCATTTTATTCACATATCAATCCACTTCAACTTTTATTAAGTATGTTCTACACCTAATGTTAGTTTTTAAGATATATTAACATTTCTGGTAAAACCTAATTTTTACTATTTTCGGTCACATGTAATGGCTTTGGAAAAAACTATCACATTGTGTCAACTTGTCAGTTCATAATTTATCATTCCATTCTGAGTTAATTTTATTAGTTAATATTTATTTGTGGTATTCTATAAAATAATAAGAATTAAGTTTTTTCAGAAATTTTAGATATAGAACATGCTTAATAAAAGTTGAAGTGGACCGATATGTGAATAAAATAGAACAATAAAATACAGTGTTCCATTTGCAAAATTTTAGAAAAAGAAAAGTTAAAACTTTCTAAAGCTGACCATAATAAAAAAAATGCCCTGTATAAAATATCCATATTAGGTAATATAGCCTAATTTGCCTAACTTTTGTCTTTAACTCTGTCAAATATTTTTGCTCCAAGTGTTAGTAATTGAAAGTTAGTACAATTTCTTCGAGGTCATGTCATGTTTTTTCCAAAATTCAAAGAATTTTCTATATAACTTGGCAACCCGGCATTAAAATGATAAACTGTTTATATCGCCATATATAGAATTTTCTCGGAAATCCATATGTTTATAAATATACAGGATATTCCATTTAAAAAATGTAATATTTTGGGTGTCCTGTCTTTGCTCATCATCCTGTATGTATCAAATTAACTTTGTAGTTTAGACTTCTTGATTCTGTATAACTTTTATATAATTTTTTTTTCTGTATTATGAGTAAGAAGGTAGTTATTTTCTTTCTCACATTAATGGCCCACCCTGTATATGTTTGATCTAGAACTTTTTAAAGTGGTCATTTTGTACAATACAGTATGTTTGGTTCATCATGGAACCCCTTTTATAAGAATGTGAAATAAGAGCTTATCTTAATACCAAAAATCTAAAACAATATCTAATTTTCAGACATATTCCGTCAGACGAGAAGTCTATGGAAGAAAGGACGGCAAGAGTGTATACTTTACTTTAGCTTTCGCAGGCATGGCCTTGATGGCTGCCATAATCGTAGGTGTGGCTGTGGCCAGACGCAGATCCGCAAGATCGCCTCAGAGCCAGGGCTTCGTAGAAGTTGATCAAGCGGCCACCCCTGAGGAAAGACACGTAGCTAACATGCAAATAAACGGTTACGAAAATCCTACCTATAAATATTTCGAAGTAAAAGAGTAATATGTAATGTACGAACCACTTGGACGTTTATTTAATTTCTTACAGAGTGTTGTTTTGCCTGGCAGCGTATAATTTGATATTATTTGAAGCAATACTTTGATGTGTTTTTTATGACCGACGGTCTTGTTAAGTTTGATGATTTTCGTTTGAGGCTACTAGGATCTTAACCATTCCATTAATTTTTAATTTAACTGTACTTAATAAGCAACTCGATAATAATTCTACATATGCAAAGTATAAAATATATAAATATTTTGAGAATTATGAAAACTTGAATAGTAAGTAATAATTTTTGCATATGACAGTCCATGTTTACATATTTAATGTAATCATTTATAGTAAAAGTATTGTGACGGTACACACATTATACATATTGCGATATTAGTTAGACATAAAACATTGTGTATCATCACAATATCCAGTTAGTTGCTAGATGTATATGGTACCCTCCATATTATACTTAATAAAGATTAGATTATAATGTGCATGTTAATCAACAAGCTTTTGTACAAAGTCTTTTTATTTTTGTTACGACTTTAACCAGCTTTATTCACGCCCTTTACCCCTTATATCCAGCCCAGGAAAATTTTACAAAATGATCGGTGTTTTACCTTCCCAATGTATATATATTTATTACAGCGATTAGATCTACCAAAAAAGAAAAATAAAATATTAAAAAATTCCTGCCAGCAGTATTTCACAAAGTGCAAGAACTCGAATAACACACAACAGTGTAGGTATATGAATAATATTCTTAACCAACACTCATTTTCTAGTTATTAAAATTCTAGTAGCCAGAAAGTATTACAAACGTTAATTTGCCATAAAAGTTTAAAGTGAAAATTCTGTAAATATTTTCCTGGGTAATCCCAATCAAAGAAGACCAACTGATGGTTCATCGTTCAAGCACAATATGATTGAATACATGTATGTCTATCTTTCTTTGAACAAATGTGTGCCGTATGTGATTTCCGACCGAAATTTGTTGCGTTAAATTTAAAAATAGTGGGTTACAAAACTAAACCTGCCTAGATAAGATAGTAATACAATGTATTCAGTATGATTTCTTTCCCAGATTTTGAGTATTTGACGAGAGCTTAAACAATAACTTTAAATTACTTCATTCACTATATCTTTTATTTCAGCCGTAAAATCAGAATTTGTATTACAGTATCATTAAATGCATACGTAATATTGACAAATTTATTTTAACTTTAAATCTAATTCACACAGAAAAATAGACGATTATAGAGAACGAAGCAATTTCGGGTTTTGTGTATTTTAATCCAAAACTTGTATTTTAATTTGAGAGTAAGCTGTTTGTAGATAACACATTTGTGAAGAGATCGTTTATTTATGGGCATAACAATTTTATACTGAATGGCTTCTGACAGCTTGTATAATAATTTAGTAAATATATAAAAATTTCATATTAATGTAATTTCCTCCCACGATCCTTAACTAGCGAAGGCTAGGAAAAAAGATGTGTTTGATGTGCATATTTAGTAAATTTCCCAACAATTTTCATAAATATTTTTCCTATTTACGGTGTTACTACTTAAAACACATTTTGTTAAGGAAAAACACTTAAGCCATTATTTCTCTTAGTACCTACCCTAACCTAATCTGTATTAGATTAGTTTAATAGTATAGTTATTATATGTTTTGTGGCCATGTAATTTTAAATTTAATGTAATAAAGAACTAACTTATTATTTTATACAGTGTTTCTATTACTATCAGTATCCACAGTTGATTGTTCAAATCCGGCTCGAAGGACCAAAATTATGTACCTATAGAATGGGATGGATCTGTTTTGAAGTACAGTGTAAACTCTTTTTAACAAATCTTAAGGGACCGGGTTTTTTTTTTGCTTATAAAGAGTTTTTGTTATATGGAGAGAAGAAGGAAAAATAACCAAATTTCACCAATTACAATAATTCCCAATTTTATTATGTACTTTCAATAGGTAATTAAATTATTCCAAACACATATATTCTGTTAACTTTACTCGACGTATTTTGCTATGCCAATATTTGTTTTGTATTTTCTGAAGTATAATTTTTAATATTTATGGTATGTGTAGTTTGGACCTTGAATAAGAATTTTCTGAAGTAGTTCGACGCAGCGTTCATAAATTACCGAGATAATCAATTTTGAAGTTTTACCTGCCAGCTAAATCCACTAGATGCGACACAGTTCTGGGAGCGTAGCCTAGTTGATAGCGTTCCAGTCTGACAGTCACGAGATCGGTGGTTCAAGTCTGGTCGCGTGAGGTTTTTTTTTTTTGAAAACATACCATATGGTTTTTTTTATCCTTTTTCTCATCTCGAAAATTATGAACAAACGAAATATTATAATGACTACCTATGTATGTTTCAAATATTTCATTAAAATACACAATTGGTTGATTAACAATATTTATTATGAATTAACAATAAGGTATGAATTGTCAGTGTTGCGAGAAACAACTACTCCGAGAGCTACATGCCCCCGCCGGCATTGAATTATACTCGCAACACCTAGTGCAACAGCTAGGATCGTTTGTCAGTCAGTTTAACCCACCAGGCACAGACCGGTTTCAGACTTATTAGTTACATACAGACTGGTTTCGGACACAGTACGAAACCGGTGTGCCTGGTGGGTTAAACTGACAAATAATCCTAGCTGTTGCACTAGGTGTTGCAAATATAATTCAATGCCCGCAGGGGCATGTAGCTCTCGGATTGGTTGTTTCCCGCAGCACTGACAATTCAATCATTGTGTTACGCCCTCTGTGGGTGGCAGTCATGCAACAAAGTACCTGCAGTTAGCAGGTCGCTTCCTATTGTAGCCATTTGAATGGCACAGTTGAGAGTCCGCACGACAGAGGGAGCCATTTGTGCTCCCGCGTACAACAAGGTATCTTAAAAAGAAAACAAACGAGGTCAGGTAGGATATTTTTTATTTTATTTTTAGTATTTGACATTTTACGTGTGGCATAAGCCAGAATGATAGTTATCATAGAAACATGGGAAACAGAAATTTTTTAAGCATCTAGCAAATCATGTAAATGTTATGTTTTTACAGGCGCATTTTGTTTTCAAAATATCGACGTCGAAGCAAATTTCGTGAAAATCTGTTCTTTCATCGCACAGTTTCAATGCTTCTCTACCCTTTGTGGAATTTACCGAAACTTTTTATGCCCGAGCAGGTGTGTTCTGTAAGAGGTTTTTTTTTACACGGTGGACAATCCACACAACCTAGCTCAAAATTTTCATCAAACACTTGAAGAATATTCCTACAGACAGTTCTTATAATATTTCGTTTGTTCATAATTTTCAAGATAAGAAAAAGAAAGCTAGATGCTTAAAAAATTTCTGCTTCCCATGTTTCTATGATAACTACCATTCTGACTCGTGCACTGCGTAAAATGTCAAATACTAACAAATATAAATTAAAAGAACATCCCACCTGACTTCGTTTGTTTTTTTTAATGAAAACTTATTGTCAATTCATAATAGTGTTTATCAACCAATTGTGAATTTTAATGAAATGTTTTCAAAAAAAAAACGTCACGCGACGAGACTTGAACCACTGATCTCGTGACTGTCAGACCTGAACTCTACCAACGAGGCTACGCTCCCATCTTCACAATCTTCAAAGATTGTCTAGTGGATTTAGCTGTCAGGTAAAACTTCAAATCGATTATCTCGGTATGTATGTATGTAGGGGGTGTGGTGGAAAATTGCTTCTCCATCGCGGCACTTAGGCCTTATTAGACCCCTTGTACACCCCCCTTTCATTACTTGAGTACTTTCTTCAAATCATCCTATTACTACACGGTACAATTTTTATGTATGAGAGTATGGTCTTGAGTTACAGAGATTTATTGCTCTATTCTCATTACCATTTTATCGGGGACCACACGCAGGCGGAAAGTGTTGAGCGACCCAGGTCTCTGGCAGAGCTGGGTAATTACTTGTAATTTAAAGATAGTTACAATTACAAATTACTTTAAAAAAAAAACTAATTACAATTACAAAGTATATTCTTTAAAAAAGGAATTATATTCATTTAATTACAGTTACATGGAAAATGGATTTAGCGATTACTTTTCTAATTACTTTCATGAAGTAAATTATAGTGACCAAACAGAGAAAAAGGAAAAGTTAAGTTAAAAATTTTAATTAAAAGTGTTGTGTAATATTGCGTTGGTAATTATTTACTATAGTGGCACCCTCTCCAATTTTCACATAATTTTGTCTACCCCCCCCCCCTATTTTCGATGGTGCTGAACACGAATCTGAAGTTTTTTTTGTACGGTCGAACCCAGTTTTTGAGAAAAATTTTTTTCAAAATTCTAACCTGAATATTTCAGATAACACTACGTAGAACTCTGTATATTTTATGTAGCTTTCAGAACATCTGTAATAAACAATGAACATTGTTTAAGAAACACATTTTCCCAAATTTGAACTAAAAAAAAAATATGTATTTAATAAATAAAATTATAGTAACTTTATGTGGGATGAACAGAGTTGAGTGGGGGGAACTCAATGTTGTCATCACGAATTACAAATGGCGGATTCAAACTACAAAATTTGTATTTACTAAATACATATCTTTTTACTTGAAATTTACGAAAATGTGTTTAGTGGACAGTGTTAATTGTTCATAACAGATGTTCTGAAAGCTACATAAAATATACAGAGTTCTACGTAGTGTTATCTGAAATATTTTTTCTGGAAAACTGGGTTTGACCGCACAAAAAAACTGCAGATTCGTGTTCAGCACCATCGAAAATAGGGGGCAGACAAAATTTTGTGAAAATTGGAGAGGGTGCCACTAGTAAGTAAATAATTACCATATTTTTATTCCTAATCTAATACTCCAAACTAGTTCAGTTCATACTATAATTTTATATTATTGCTCTTCATTATCACTAAGATGTACTTACTTTCTGTTAATTCTGAGGTTAATTCATCAAATAACTTTTTAATGTTCACGCGGCACAAGGCTTTCCTCAAATGAAATAATAGAAGTCTGCAAGTCTGTACGCAATTACGCAATACGCATGATCTTAAAAGTAATTGTAATTATTAGAAAAAGTAATTGTAATTGGAAAAAGTAATTGTACTTATAGAAGTAATTTGTAATTAGATAGTTCAAATAATATAATTACAAATTACAATTCCTATAACAATTTTGCTGCATTCCAATTCCAAATTACTTTAATAAAAAAAATACTTAAATACAATTACAATTACAGAAAAAAAAAGGGAATTGTAATTGCTAATTACTTTTTCACCAGGAATTACCCAGCTCTGGTCTCTGGTAGGCTGCCACAGCCACACCCCAAGCCTGCCTTAGGTCACCCATCCAATCTCCAGCCTGCATCCGTGTTACTTACCTCGGCCGATCGAAATCCATCGGCCAAGACACCCGGCTAGGGTCTGATTACTCTCTCCTCGTCAGTGGTAGATTGTCCTCACCAAACTGCTCTGTTTCTACTGTCTGACTGTTACATAGTCCCGCGTGACGAAACGAATGCTGTATGGTTGCTGCTGTTACTTACCTCTTTCCCAGCTTTTGATATGAAATTTACTGCTTGTAGTATATTAATCGAGGTCTTGCCATCAGTTTTAATAAGTTCCACAAACAATTTCCTTCTATAGTGACGCTTTAGACTTTTAATCATACTCTGATCTGCATGATACTGGTTGTATTTGCTGGGAAAAATGCTAACTCTATTTGTAAAATCCATTTCCAAATATTTTGCGTTAATTTTATTCTAGCAATAAATCAACTTTGTCACAGCGTTGACCCACCCTGTACAAGGTGTATTTAAACGAAGAAGCACAAATGATACCAGATAATCTGGAGGTCAAAATATAATTGTGTCGAATACAGGGAGGGTGTTAACTAAGTACATCAACAAATTTTAAGGCTTTCGGTGACTTTTAGCCAAAAAGATATTACAAACATGGGTCGACAAGTTGATAGTATTGGAGATACAGGGTGTTGAAATTTAAAACCAATTTCACGTTTTATATACAGGGACACATGGAAAAAAGTGTAATGCATAGCACCACATGATAGAGGACCTCAAAACATATTAAAAGTTGCTATACACTTAAGTCTAAGTTTATTTTGTTTTCGAGATACAGAATGTTAAAGAAATTTTTGGAAAATATTTATTACTTCCGATTAAGTGGAGGGAATGTAATGACGATTGGTTCATAATATCCTCCTTAGGCTGCCAACCAGTGGCAGAGATAGAGGGTTCACTATGCTTGAATCAAATTAATAAATACGGCCCTGTAAAAATTTTCTAGGGATACCTTGCAAAATATGACACAAAAATTAGAGGAACTTTTAATAGGAATTATATTACCTATCGAAAAATTTTAAAATAGTAATTTTTACAGGACCGCATTAATTAATAAATTTGATTTAAGCATAGTGAAGCCCCTAACTCCACCACTGGTTGGCAACCTGTAGAGGATATTATGTACCAATTATCAGTACATTTCCTCCACTTATTCGGAAGTAAAAAAAAAAAAGAAAATAAATATTTTCTAATATTTCCTTAACACTCTGTATCTCGAAATCAAAAGAAATTTAGACATAAGTATATAGTAACTTTTTATATGTTTTGAGGTCCTCTATCTTGTGGTGCTATGCATTACACTTTTTCCATGTCACCCTGTAGTCAAAAATTATAAATGTTTCAAATTTTCATCTCAGTATTTTTTTTTGTTTGATGTTGGCATGTTAATTGGGTCAAAATAAAAACTTTTTATTCTTGCAATTTTTCTCTAGAATGTAGTCTTGACGAATTATAGCCATTTTAATGTTCAAAATTGGTTAAAAATGTTGTTAACTCCACAAAGGGGCAGTTCAGCAAAAAAAGTGCAGAGATAAAAATTTCTTATTTTGGCTCTATTAACCTGTCTGTGTACTTTAATTTCAAAATATTAATAAAAACATAGTTTTCCACTAATATTGAGCTATTTTTTGAGGTTAGGGGAAAACCCTGACGTAATGGAGCATTTTTGATGGGTCAATTGTCTTCAGCGGATCAAAATACAGGGGGTACCAAACCTATTAAAAAATATCTGAATTTTTTTTTGGGCCAATGTTATTAAATAAATCTGAACTTACCTTGCATTATTTAGCAATGGGAAGATTTCCAATAATTTTTTGTCATTTGATACAAAAAAGGAAACTATATTTTAAAATATAGTTACTAATAAAAAAAAACTAATAAAAAAATGGTTTATTCATTTTCGTGATAGAACTAATTATTTTTGCTATAAAAATTGAAAAAGAAAGGCTAATACTTATTATAAATAATCATCCAACCAAACTACACTAGGAAAATATTAAACATGTGCAAATTGTAAAAACACTTTATTTATCTTCTTTTTCCGACTGACCTTTTGGATCTGCAACAGGAAAAATTATCCCTCAGTATTTTTTATGATAAAATTTCCAGTATTAACAATTTTTCCATTGCCATTTTACAAATAGCAGATTGTTTCTTTGTTAAAAATGTATATTAAAAAACACATTCAAATCATCACACCACAATTTTTTTACTTACCATTCTTGACATCATCCCCTAAATGGCCGTCATCAGGCATCATACCCGGCATCCTATCGGCCTCTGCTGGTGCAGCGCCCCCATACAATTGAGGAGGCATGATGGAACCATCTGCTGGCATCTGTTGACCTTCTGGTGGTGTTGCTCCGTGAGGAGGATAGGGATGGCCTCTGTTCCCGTGGGGTGGATACTGTGGATAGCCTTGGTGGTAATATCCGTGTGGAGGGTACTGGCCAGGGCCCGGATAACCCTGAGGATGTGGGGGATAGCCTTGCTGTGGAGGGTATGGACCATAGCCTGGATGAGGAGGCCTCGGTGGCAGTGGAACTGATTGAGGGTTTGGGCCTGCAGATTTAAAATTGAAACTTCCAATTATAATAATAGCAGACCTACATTGAAAAGCTCGAAAGGCTATTTTGGACTCTGCAGTTTTAATCTCACAATTTTTTGCACCAAGTCCCAATCTTGTCATAAAATTGCTTAATTAACATGTTGAGTCTCCTTGCATGTCAAGATGCAAGTGCCTGATTAGTGTGAGCAGCTAGGATTTTCCAGTGTGAAATAAATTATGATTAAAATGGAAAAAATAATTTTTTTGAGGTTTTCTCACATTTTTACCGCAAATAAAAAAAAATTCGAAAAATTTTCGAAAATTTTGAAGTTTTTTTTTTTGGAAAACCTTCTGGACATTGAAGAAAACAAAATCCATTCGGCTTTTCCCTCCTATGCTTCTGTTCATCAACTTTTAATTAAATTAAAATAATTAAAGTTGATGACCCAACCCAGATTTCGACCCCGATTCATAACGTTTTATGAAACAAATTTCTAATTAAATTAAAAAAAACGTTCTATCATAGTTACATTACTTTACAACACAACAAAATTATAATCTAAACCTTTTATATCATGTTCAGGTAATACCCTTTAAAAATGGCATTGCAGAATTTCCCTAAATTTCCTTAAAAAAAAAATTAAATGACATGTTACGGACATTGGTTATTTTTGCAGGAAATAAAAAATAACTACAAGTAGGAACTGGAAGAATACTTTATAAAAAATAAGTTTACATAAAAAAACGAAAGTAATAACTACTGGTGGCTAAATATTGACATTCAACAGTGTAGTCTAATCTTCGGCGACGCTGCTGTTGTCGTCATTGTCGATTTCGGTATTATCCTCTTGACTGGGACCAGAACTCGTACCTGGTCGTTCAAAATTTGACTGTATGTTTAGATAGTACTGAACATTTTCAGGAGTTTTCAAACACCTAGCTAGATTTCTTAGAAAACCTAGTTTTTGGGGTTTTATTTGAATTTCCTTGTGATACAAAGGCGTTAGAGTCAATTCACTGGGCAGTTTCTTTTTATTTCGCAGGTGCATAGTATCCCAGGGCCCCGTGTAAGAATGCTTTGTTTGAATGTAGTCCATATTGGCCGAAATTTTAATGACTAACTTATTTTATTTTCATCGGTGGCTTTGGATTTAGCTATATTAAAAAACTTTTCCTGCTTGATTTTGACCAAATTAAAAGGAGAAGGCTTTTCTCGAGCTGCCAATATTAAACGGTCCCAGTCCGACTGAACTTCTGCCATATTTTTTCTTTTCTTGGCCTCAATCAAACTGAAGTCTTGATCGTTGGGTAATCGAGAATGTCCTCGTATTGGAAAATAGTATGTAATGGTTTTAAAAACCTTCAAAATGTGAACTAATACATAAAGAAACCTAACCATTAAATAATTTTTGTTTTGTCCTGGGCACCCGTCACTAAACAGCACTAGATCTTCTTTGGATATATCTACACTATTTAAATAATGTAATAGCAACGATGTCACATCATTTTGGCCTTTTTTCCCAACGGTTTCGTCATAGACATACATCCAAATACATAATACCAAAGTTGGCTTGCAAAAAAAACATCACCAGTTTGAATATGTGGCAAAGGTAAATTTTGCATGTAATCAAAAGTTATGCATGTAATAAGCCCCTGCTGCGCTTTAAGTTTGCATTGTCTTTTTATCTCGTAAAACTTATCTGCCTTACATAGATGAAGATTTCTTTCTGTTTCAATACTTTGATGTTCTTCCAAGTCAATACTTGAATTTAGCTTTGACAGTAATCGATCACAAATGGTGCAAATATCAGATCTAGGTAGACCGAACTTAATATTGAACGACGAAATGAAAACTGTCCAGTAAGTTTTACAAGAGAAATTGATCCGATATTTTTTTAAAAACATTTTATACATGGATTTAATCGATAGCGTTTCAGGTAGGTACAAACGATCAGGATTTTTTCTTCTGGAATAATGTGACTGGCGAGGTTTAAATGATTGAATATGCGACGTTATTAAATTCAGAACTGGGTCGGATGTTTTTTTAAACCTACTGCTATGTTTCCCTCTTAGATTTGGTGATTTCCCTTGCAGTAGGAGATTATTTTGTAATCTTCGTATCCTTAATCTTGTGACACCAAAGATGCTTAAAAATGCCTTAAAGCATACTGGATGTTCATTACCATCCGCCCTAACCTTGTAAGAATACACTGCATTGTTACTAAAACTAAATGGTTTCATTCTATCAATGTTGTTATTATCTTCTACACTTGAATCACTGTCACTTTCATTATTACGTACGACTCTTGGTCTACGCCGCTGCGGAGGTCTCAAGGAGATTAAACCAAACAAATGGGCATCTTGTTCATCCTTTGACAACATCGAGATAAACTGTTCTAATAACGCGTTGTGCGTATTCTCATTGACAGTCGTAAAACATTTAAAACGGGAACATCTGCAATAACAATGTAAAACTGTTATTACTTCAGGGCGACATATTATTTTATATTTTACACCTACCTACAATCTGGACCTGTATGTCTAGCAGGTACTAGTTTTCCCACATGATTTATATACAGAACACCTCTGATTTTCTTTTTCTTGATAGCTATTTATTTTTTTCACGCGTTTCTCCTTCTTTTTCTTCCAATTTGTCGCTTTATTTTCATCACAAAACTCCGACATATTTATTACGAACAATAATAAACTAACTCATAACCTCAAAATGTGACAAGATAGATGAAAAACGAATTTCTGGCAAAAACAGCCATTGTCCAGGACTATGGTTGTTTTTGTAGAAACTCGAGTGGACTATGGTTGTTTTTGTAGAACTACCAAATCTTTCCTGTACTATAACTATGGACTATGGATCTTTTTGCAGAAACTGAGTTCACCAATCGATCCGGTGTACTCAAAAGCATAAATGTCAATATTAACCGCAAATTTAGAATTTTTGGACTATGGCTGTTTTTGTAAGCTACGCCTCAATTAGTTCCATTAATAGAAGATGTCAGAAATGTATAGTTGTGGATGGTTCGCATTTTGAACAATTGTTGTAAATACGTAACGTTAATTTTGTTTCTTGTTTAGTTGTTGTTGCTTGGTAAATGTATTTTTTATTATTTTGATTTAAATTGTTCTTATTTGTAAAGATAGTGGATTAGGCCTCCAGGGAAAACTGAAACACACCAGGAACACTACCTCACAAGTGACGTGGAAAGAATTTTGTTTGATCTGCTTACAAATTACACTTACTTTTAAGCATAAACATAAATATTCTTGTAATATTACGGTTAGAAATGTCTGCAAAGGGGGACTGTATTGGTAAGAATATTGAAAACGGCGAATCTTAGGGAAAAATTCAAGTTACCCTTTTTACTTACTTTGAGCATTAGAATATAAATCCGTTATAATAACTGGCAGAAAATACAATGGCGTATATTTTTTTTATAAAAAGAGGGTGACCCGTCCAGTTGTACACCCTCGAAGTTTCCTGCATAAAATTCGGACTACCCTGTAAATTTTTGAAAAGTGGAGAATTTCACGAAGCTAAGTATGCACTAATACATAGGGTGCTCTATTAAAAAAAAATTTTTCTTTAATTTAGTGATGTCCATTATTCAATGGTTTTTTCTAATACTGTGTTATAAAAATTCATAAAAAAAGCAAAAACTTGTATTAAAAACTTTTTTTGTAATTTCAATAATATACCCACAATAAGTTGTCAAATTATAGTGACTAACCGTGTACATAAAACAAAAAATATTATTTTTCTATTAATCCACAAATGTGCTCTAATAAAGTTAAGGTTTCTTTCTTGTCAAAGTTTATACACAGTTACCTTACATATACAAGGTGGCTTTTTTCAGCGTCAAAGTCCAATAGCTTGGTTATGGTAGCACCAGGGAAAAAATATTTTAGACAAAAGTTGCTCCCAGTCAAGTTCTCCACATTTTAAAATTAGTTTGAATTATACAGGATTTCCTAGTTCTCCTGAGGGCCAATCAAATTTGTTTTTTTAAATACAACACCCTATATATTTTTGCATTTTAGAATTACTCGGCGAATTTTGATGTCACTGTGATTAATAATTATGGTGTCTATTATGCACCGTTTCTATGTTAATTGATGATTTCTTAAAAAAATTACGTTTGCAGCGACTAGGAAAAAATTATTTATCTCGAAAACCAAAAATCGTAGATAAACGAAAGTTTGATAGCTCTGTTCATGCTTAGAACAGTGGTAAAGATTTCGTTTATCTACGATTTTTAGTTTTCGAGATAAATAATTTTTTCCTAGTCACTGCAAACATAATTTTTTTAAGAAATCATCAATTAACATAGAAACGGTGCATAATAGACACCATAATTATTAATCACAGTGACATTAAAATTCCTCGAGTAATACAAAATTGCAAAAATATATAGGGTGTTGTATTTAAAAAAAACAAAGTTGATTGGCGCTCAGGAGAACTGGGACAACCTGTATAATTCAAACTAATTTTAAAATGCAGAGAACTTGACTGGGAGCAACTTTTGTCTAAAATATTTTTTTCCTGGTGCTCCATAACCGAGCTATTGGATTTTGACGCTGAAAAAAGCCACCCTGTATAAAACACGCTTCTCTTTTTATTAGATCTTACCTTGCGGTTGGTACTGCTGCTGATACTGAGGTACCTGGGCCGGTGGCATCATTGGGTTCTGATGAGGCGGAGGGGCCTGTGCTGTGGGAGGGTGTGCTGTGTTTTGATTAGGCTGCATGTGCGGCAGTACTGGTCCGTGTCCTTGTCCAATACTCGGACAGGGTACGTTTGGAGGGATGCCCGATGGATGGTGAATTGGTTGATTAGGTGGCATATTATGGGGTGGAGGAGCGTGTGGGTGCATAGGATGCGGTTGTGGTTCATTAGGGTGAGGTGGTTGAGGCGGTGGGTGTTGTTGGGGGTGATCGGGATGTGGTGGGTAAGGATGTGGATCGAGTGGTGGCTTGTGTGGTTCCACGTGAGGCGAAGGACCATTAGAGGTTGGGGGTGGCTGCGGGAGAGGCTCCGTTTTCTCGGGTTCTTGTTCCATGTGCTGAAAAAATTAAAAATTCATGACCAAAAGTTATGAAATAGTTTAATAAAATTATTTGTATTTATTTATATTTAAGTTACCAGTTATCTGAAATAACTGATGCCCACATTACATCGGACAATCAAGGAAACACTCTTACCTCTGATCGAGGCTGTCCATTTTCCTGCACAGGACCAGAAGAGTTAGAATTGTTGGAGTTTTCCGATAAGTTTTCATCAACCTTGCCTTTTGTCTCTTCCTGTATTTTATTCCTCTCTTTTTTCAAAATGTCATACTGCCTCTCAACCATCTTTTGAAAAGTATCCTCGTCTACAGCTTGTTTACAGTGCTAGATACAGAATCCATTAAGACAAGTTCTCTCAAAAAACATCATGTTACCTTTTTCAACTCCTCCTGAAATTGTTCACTGCTCTCAATGAACTTCCTTTTCTTTGCTTCAAATTTTTCTTCTATTTGCTGCAGCTCAGCCTCCAGTTTCTTTTGGTGCATTGTCAATGACTGCACTTGCCTTTTCAAAACCTGCATACGGTTTGTAGTCACGACAGACCTAACATCGGGCACCACCGATTCGGAAAATATCTCATTGATCAAGCGATGGTTCCGTAGGTATCGTGCGTAAGCAACATGCTTAACTGAATACCCATCATCTTGGTCTGATTATTAAAAGTGTGTTATTTTAAAGATATACATTAGACTTACTGCTATAAAATTAATTTGCCTTGTATTAATCAATGCTATATTGGTGAATTTCTTTGGTTTTTGTCCAAAGTGAAAGCTAATAGGAACAGATTTGAAAGAAAATATTATTCATATGATTTTAAGAAGGTTCGGGTGCTACGGAAAAATGCAAAAAATGCAAAAATGCAATAGTATTATTGAGATATGTTATTTTTGCAATGCAAAATCAAATTCTGTGAATTATTCTCGAATTACTTATAGATTCATTTTTGTTTCTAACTAATGCCAAAAATATAGGTTCTTATGGGAAATGATATGATGCATACCCTTACAATTGAATTATGGATGAAAAAATGCAAATGGTAAGACGAAAGAAATATAGACATTTACCGGAGTCATTAATTAACAGATGAGAGAAAGAAAAAAGTACGTAACTGCACACTTCAGAGAAATAAATTATCAAACACAAGAAAATCCAACTTGTCGTCTGCCAAGTTATAAACGCGAAGAAGTAACGGCAACAGCGCAATAGAGTAAGAATGGGGATAGGTGGCAGGAAATTTAGATAATCGTTTCGATACACACTGTCATTAGATATGGATTACATTCAACTTGTGTTTATATGTGTAATTCAATTTAGAAAAATAAAATAAAATGTGAGACTTTCAAATGAAGTATGTTTTTTGAAATCTTTTTTATTTATAAAGTACGATAAACTTTCAATACAGCGTCATATGTAACAAAAGCCGGGACACGTGCTGATTTATTTATTAGTTCTCGAAACGGATGGGCCAAAAAGTAAAATATTTCAGTCAACACTAATTTATTGAAAAGTTAAAGGCTCTCAAGTAGGTTTAGCGTCGCCACAAGGCCGTCCTTCGGAGAAGGCCTTATGAAATTTAGCAATATTTTTTAACAAGTTCACTTAGACTGCGAGATGTGTTGAGCATCTGGTATGATGAGAAAAATCGATATTTCAAATAACGCGCGAAATGCATTCCAAAGAACGTAGGAATTCCAAGAATAAGTAGCAGCTTTCAACCTCACCACGTATCACCAGGGGTGAGGGAGGGTGTAAAAAAGTGGCCTAAAAACATCACGTGATTAATGGAGGACCCCTAGTTTAAATAACTAGGTGGTTTTCGCAGGGTTAATGACACTTAATCATTCAATAAACATAGAAATCTAAAAAAAAAATTAGAAAAATTTGGATAAATACATTGAAGATGAGTCTGGTTCGCGCTGAGGCAGTAAAGTATTGGGGGTAATGAAGGCTTGCAAAATATGTAATAAAATTTCCAGGGGCATATTTAAAAAAATTAAGTTGATGATGCTTCTGGAAAGACTATGATTATGCCACTCGATAGACGGCAAAAAGTTGCCTACCGTGAGAAAGTGTTCTTTTTCAATATTACCACAAACAAGACTGAAATGAAACAAAAACGGAGTTTCAATATTTCTGTTTTTTTTTTAATATTTCAAAAACTAATCATGTTAGTCTTGATTTTTTAGAGGCATAATGTTGATAACCCTGATTACACAACTTTACCCACATTTAAGCTAGTTTTTAAAGGTAACCGTTCGATGAACTGATATTTTTAAAACGAATTATTAACTGTATTGTTAAATTTTATGTACTTTCAGATAAAAATTTTAAAAATTATTTATACATGTTTTATTTTTGAATATCAGTGTCAATGATCTCTAACACTGACCTAGTTTTGTCGAACTATATTATGGTATATTTCCACTCTTTCTTCTTATTCAGGCACCTCAGCAGCGAATTGGTGGTAGATATAATAAATTAACCCAAAATAAATAAAATAGCAAGAAAATTTAAACGTGAACATTTCAAATTTAACGTTTACGAAGGGGAGGCAATGGAGGATACTCTCCACTGTCCTATTCACATGCCAATGTTGCAGGCGTTCTGATTTAACAAGTTGTAAATGCGGTAAAAACAAACTGTCACATTAATTCAACGGAACGAGATTGGCTGAATATACCTATAGTCTGTTACGTTCTTATTTAGTTTTCGACTTTATCATTTCGTGAAAGGGTGTTTGTATAGTACATCTGTGTGGTAAAAGTGTATAACTTTATAAAGTTATTTATTTCAGTGTTTAGTGACAGTACAGTCAGTGTATTGTGTTTTCGTTTTCAAGTTTTTAAGTGGTATTATGAGAAAGCATGTCTATGAATCAAGAAAGAATTGAATCATATCTACTATTTCTTGAGCCTACTTTTTGCCTGAAGAAATACTGCTGCAAAAAGGTGATATCAGATTAATTATCCCAAAGAGCAGTATGTCACAGCGGGTGATGTGAAATTTGCTTTTTAATCTTTTCTTTAAATTAGAAAATTTGACAACAATGCATTGCCAAGTTCTCAATAGTACATGCGTTGCAACTAACACGTGTCGTTTTTGACACCACACTAGCTTGTCCAGCGTCGGGGTAAGAAAATTATTAAAAAAACATGAAATGTGAAATATACTCTTCATAAGGAATTTGAAAAAATAAACTATTGATATGTGTTTCTAAAGGCCAAAGACAGCCTCTGTGTAAATATGATCCCCACTCAAAGTTACACAAGTGGATTTTATTTAGCTTTGAAATGTGTCAGTTAGTTTTGGAGCTTCCTGTACATACAAATTAATTCATTTTTGGGATTAAGCAGGCTGTTAAAATGCAATAATAAACATTAAGATCTATATAAAGCAGTTAACCAAATTTCATGATTTTAATTTTTTGGTTGTAAACTTACCATCTTCATCTTCGGCAGGTTGAATTTCGATCCGCCTGTCCGCAGCGGCTTGTTGCTTGGATGAACTAGTTGACCTTTCGTGAGTCTCTCCATCGGGCCCTTGTGCAACTAAAATTAGTTTGTTTAGATGATGGGGTGATATGGTGTCGATTAGGTGAGGTTACTTTTAGTGACGCTGGCACAGATACAAGATTATATACACGCATACTTAAAATTAAGACTTCAGCAAATTTCCATTTTCTAGAATTTTTTTATTTTTAATTTATTGATATCAACTAGATTACTATTTATTTATTTTATGTTTAAGTTTTATGAAGCTGAATATCAATAAAAAAAAATAGTAATATTTTGAATAATTAAATCGCTGACGTTTTGAATCAGAAAAAAAAACAGCTGAAAAAAACTATTACATTTTATATGCAATTATTCAAATTTTGTGGTAATCATTTTATTATTAAATTAAATTTTTCTCAAAATTAAGCCATTCGGGTTCCAAATTGAATGAATAAAATACTAGAGCATCAAAGTTTTTTGGAAAAATATATCACTACCCATACAGGGTGTGAGTAGTTGGCAAATTTCCAATATAGAGATACTAAAGATCAAAATATTTAAATTGAATCAAACAAACCTTTGTCAGAGCCTTTGTCCAAATATCGATATATAAAAAGATACTTGGTATCAAACTTACAATTTTATTTACAATATTTTCTTTATTGCTAAAAATTTCTGTTAGGTTTTGGCTCTACCATTTATGAAATAATCATAATTTTATTTGCGTCACCCTGTTTACAATTCTGAGCAAAAAATCTCAATACCTGGTCCTTCGTCTACTAAAAAGATATACTTGTTAGAAGCGTCTAAAATTAGTAATTTCCAATATATTTGCTTTTAATAATTTCAATGTATTTTGTATTAGTTAGCCACAACATAAAAGAATTCTCCAACAATAAAGAAAACGTAAATAAAATTGTGTCTTTTTAACTATCAATATTAGGACTAAGATATGTTTTGCTCAATTGACATATTTTGGGCTCTAGTACCACTAAATTCAAGATTTCCCAACCTTTCCAAAACACCCTCAATAATAACAGATAAAGCAAAATAAATATACAAGTTTATATCATAAGCAGCAAGCTACATGGGTGCATATGTGCTGAAATGATGGTGAAGTGAATGATTAAAAAAATATATGTACAAAATTTTAAAAAAATTGTTTGATTTCTCTTACCTGTTTTTCCTTTGTTTTTAGCTGCTATATATGCCAAGTAAGCAGGGGAATTGTGATAATTTTTTAATGTTTTCTCATATTCCAGCTGCAAAAATAAATTATAATACATTTCTTTTTGTGGTTACACAAGAAGAAAAGAATGTGGTAGTTTCAATCAACTGAAAAAATGGAAATGTTCATCTCTTAAAAATATATTATATTTTTTTGCTGAAGGAATTAACTATTCACTATTAACTATAATTCAAATTGGAAAAAAGGCAATTGGTTACATCAACTGTTATAATACAGTAATAAGAGTAATAAATGTAATAAATAAAAATGATAATAATTGCATAATTTTTCAGATCTAATGAACCTCAAGTAAATATATCTTAATCAATTCTAAATCATTATAGGTAACTACAAAAAATAATAATAAAACAAATAAAGTAAAAAAAATATAATAAATAATGAAAAAAAAATTGATCTGCTGAGTAAATCAAACTTACCTTTTCAGTTTCATATTCTTCTACGAACTCTGTTTTCTGATCCTCAGGAAGGTCCCTCCACATCTGACCAATGATCTTCCCGATTTCCCATAACTTCAAGTCAGAGTTTTGAGCTTTCACAGTATCCCAAACTTTTCGACTATACCTCATGTATGGCATAAGCGGTTTCTCTGGCGCCTTTGGTGGTTTTAGTGTTTTAGATTCGCTCTTCAACAAAAGAAAACCACAAAGAGCATTTGGAAGTCAGTTTTAGTTAGTGCAAAAAAAAATTGTAGCCTTATTTATTTATTACGTAACATTTAGGGTCTTCCTGGTACTTACTGTGGCACTTTTACCGATTTTCTGTGGCACAAATCCTGGATTCCCATTTGGAGTTGAAACAAATGGATTTGTTTCTTTCTAAAATGCAATTTTATACATAGATGTACTGTCAGCAAAATAAAACATTACAAAACTTACGCTTGAAGTGGAGCTCGATCCTCCTGAAGCTCTTAATCTCTCTATAAAAATAACAAATATATTAACATACACCTATTAAAGAGATAAAAATCTTACACACGCGTAACCTGTACATTTACATGCAAACAAAATCAGAATTCAATACAAGATCCCTTTCATAACTTACCTAAGTAATCGATAATCGTTCTACTACATAATATTTATTACTCACTGATACAGATCGATGATCTCTTTTGTATCATTAAATACTTTAAAATAATTTCATGGAAGACTTAATATCGGTTGCACTATATTCTTATACCTACTTTAAAATTATACAAGTTTTATTAAAATTATAATGTAATTCCCTATGTAGATGTTTAAAGAAAATTTGAAGATGTGTATAACTATTTCTATAAACTAGGTAGGTATTCCACATCTATTTACAAATACAACTTTGACTATTTTAATTGCAATCATTTATATAAGTTAGATTTAGATAATTATTGTCTGAGTGTTCATTTGAGGCAACCTCTAAATATTTATCTTTCTTCTCTCGGTCTCTACATTCCACAAAATAAGCAAATAGAAATATAAAAAAACAAGTTACGATAAAAAATTTTTGTTTAATTTATAGTGTAGACAAATACACAAATGAAGAAAATCGTTCGGAAATTTCATTTTATTTTATCTGAATTATTATTTCTCTGAGTGACAAATTCTGTATGTAAATAGATATGCACAAAGCAAAATTTTGATTTTCTGAAACCTGATTTATATCCATTAATCTTTGAACCAATAAATTAATCTATAAATTGAAAAAGTTATGCTAAGGCGTGTCAGAAACAGGTGTCCAAATTTGATCCACATACTTATAGTCAACAAAACATTTATATTTTTTTTTTAAAATTAGCAATTTTGTACTTTTTAAGTAATACTGCTGCCTATGGATTAAAGAAATATCTAAGGAACATGCAAATATTTTATGTAATGATTCACTGTCTTAACATTTTTTGTTCGCCTAAATATTAACACTAATTAGTTTCCACTGTTTGTGTTTTTATTTACAATTATTTTTGAGTTATTTTCAATGGTGGGTAATTAAAACATGACATAGTAAAAATTTATATTATAACGAGCGTTCAAATAAAAACGTGGTCGAAGTTGGCTCTGACACATTGGACGTAGGGAGTAGCTTATAGCGACCAACTTAACCTCATTTCTCAACGAGCTGTATACCAGCTGTCGGTTTCAATAACGTTAATGACTATATAACTTTATTTTAAAGAATAATCGTGATAACAATAACAAACAATTAAAGGAGCTGCGGAAAGTGTCCCCCTCCTTGTTATAACAATAAATTAAAGCAGCTGCTGAAAGTGTCCCGCTCCTTGTTCCAAGCACTTTTCACACCTGTTCCTCAAAGAATTAAAGACATTTTCTAAGATGCTCGGGGTATTGTTAATTTCACGAATCTTGTCTATAAGTTGAGCCTGCAGATGGTTTAAATCAGGAATAGGCAGTTCAAAAATAGTGTTTTAAGGTAAGGCCACAAAAAGAAATCACACGGCGTAATATCACATGACCTCGGTGGAAATTCATGTTCAGCATTGGGACTTATTAGTCGATTTTGGAAAACTTCCCTCAACATATTCATCGTTTTTATTTGAACGCTCGTTATTAAAACCTAAGAGGCTGTCAAAAAAAAAGTTATTAGACAAAAATTGTCGCTTTTGATAAGTTAAATTTTTGTTTAAAATTTTGGCTCTATTTCTGTACATTTTCATTCATTATTGCAGAAAATTTACCAGCTTCAATAAATTAGCCAAGAAATTGGAGACAATAAAACTAATCTAATCTAATGGCCAATCTTGGTCATTTTAATGCCATTTAATACTTTTAATCAATAGTACCAATTTTATCTACATTCTGCAGTTTTGACATTTGAATTTATTCCAAACAATTAAATAATAGGTTTGTATTTGTTAGTTAGTTTAGCATACTGTTACAAGATCGCTACGGTTTGCTATTTCATGATTGTTTTTCAATCTAAATATTGGCAGCTTCTTTGACCAATACATTAGCCAATTCATTGTTACGTGTAAAAAGTTGCGACCATTTCATGACCAGTAATTTGAACAATTTATTGTGTCAAAAATTGGTAATGTAAAGCAGGCTTCAATCTTGAGCTGAAAAGTTTTCTTCTATAAAGTTATATGATTATTTTGGGTTTAATAAAAAAAAATAAGAAATAAGTATCGAGTGAGAAAGTTATTATTTTTTGTCAAAATTAAAATTTAGTAATTGTTGCACCACTTCTCAGAATGAAATGCAGTTAATATTATTTTAACAGTTGCAGTTAATATTAATATTATATTATATACAATAATTATAATAAAAAACATAAAATTTTGTTATCTTAACAATGATTTGAACTAAGAATTAAGAATGTGTATTTGGTTATCAAACTTGCACTTATCACACTCAAAATGTTAATAAGAAAAAATATACCTAGTTAAAAATAGTAATACTGTAACAAACATTGAAGGCTGATTCGTCTCATCAGAATGAAAAAAACAAGGGTGAGATTTTTCCTAAACCCATTCCTTTGATCAATAAAGTTATTTGACAAAGCGAATTTCTTTTATGTATTTTTATGAACCATTTTTAACTAAAACCGCTATGCTTCTTGAGTATTTTTCAGAGAAAATTTGGCAGCAGTAGATTAGATTAGATCACTGTAAAAATCGATAGATGTCCACGGATGTCCCACGACTGTCTGAACATCTCCGGATATCCGAAGATGTTGTAGGAGAATTGATGAACTAGTGTTAGTTAAGCAGAATAGGTCAGGAAGTACCATATATTAAAAAATTCACGACAGTCTTCTTTATGACATATTCCTCTAAAATGTATAGATGTTCTTTCTATACTCTAAAAAATGGATGTCTAGTGTAAAAATTATTGTTGCAGTATAACTTTTTTTTTAACAGCTGAAACTCAGACCCCTACTAATCCCGACACAATTGGTTTGATTTTGACAAAATTTTTCAACTGAAAAACTCTTACAATCTTAAAGGATGATAGATCCTTTAGAAATAATAGGAAAACTGTTACTATAGTATTATTTTTTTATTCTGATGAGACGAATGAGTCCTGAAAGTTTGTTGCACTGACAATATTAAGTTCTATATGAAATGTCCTATTATGATTACAAACCAGAAGATAAAATTTTACCGAACATTGATTTGCATTTATTTGTGTATTTTGCAATACCAGTTCCATTTTTTTCTCTTATAAAAGGGAGAACGGAAATTTAAAAAAAAATCAATTTTTTTAACATGTTATCTAAATAAAATAATATACAGATATATATGAACTGATTCTTGTTCTCCTTTTTCTTGTCTATGTGAAGATGATTATATTCTTTATATTTAATATGAAGTTTAAGTTGAGTACTTTAAGGAGGTTTATCAGGTATGATAAAGTCAAATGGGAGTTTCTGTAGATTCGCTAGTGACTAAAGTAGTACGCCTTTAGATGTGGCAACATTGCACTTAGCTGGTGCACTCGGCTCAGCGTTCGCTCGCTCGCGCTTGGTCATTTTATTTGTTTGGATGCCTAAGCTTGAAATATACATCATATGTCACCTGTGAATTTCAAATAATACGCTACGTCGAGAACTGCGGCATTGCCACTATCACGCATATACAGGTTAAGTTAGTCAACGACAGCAGTTTGAAGGACAATTATTATAAATTATGTATCTTACAAGTACTTAATCGATTTCTACGAGCTGTCATACGGTTCCTTAGATACCGGTTTCATATTTATATAAGTTGCTGTGGAAACTGTTCATCAATTGTTGCGCATTCTAAGTGGAAAAACCAAAAAAATCTGCATTCTCATAAGACTTCGTACTAAATCGTGAAAAATCATTTTATTAATATCTCGTCTCTTAGGTATCCAAACTAGTCATAATTTTTTTTGAGGATTTTCTTCACTTTAATAAGCAAATATTAAATTTTTTATGAATATCTGTTTGTCAATTCCAAATCAGATAAACCTCCTTAACTGACCCTAACAAATTTTAGTAATTCTTACACTTTCTTCGTTTTTCCAAATGGTGTTCCTGTACCTATGTAATTATACCAGCTTTGTTCGCAGTAATGATTCTAGGCTATTTCAAGATGATGTTAAGCATTGGACGCAAGCACGGGTTGAATTTGGTTATTCGAAGTTCAAACTGCGTTTGCGTCTCATGCGGAAACTCATCTTGAACTAGACCGAGATTGCTACATCAAGCAAAGCTAATATTTTAAGGATTATCTTTTCTAAAATTAAGATTTCTTTATATTTGTCATGTAGACAATTCTTCAAAACTATTATGTATTTTATTTGTTAGTTTATCAATCAAACTATTACAAAAATTAATTGTAATTATCTGCACTGGGTAAATAACAACATATTATATAAGCTTCAAAACAAAAATCTATCAATTTTCTACTCTCTTAAAAGCGAAGTTAAAATCGGACTCTATTATAGCACTAATGAAATCTCTAAACTCATCAAATCATACACACAGAGTGAGGATATTCACTATAAGAGTGTTAATATAGAGAAATTGGCAGTTACCTTTCAAAATGTTGAAAGTCATGGGCGCGCCAGCCGACAGCAAATCTGAACAACAAACACAAACAAAGCAATCAGCACTATTCTACAAACTATACTATAGGTTTTACAAAAAGAAAAGAAGAAAAATGATAATCCGATATAAGGGAATTTAAATATATATTACAAAAATGTAAAATTTGCAAATGTATCGCCTTTTAAAACATAGTAAAATGCAGGTCTTTAAGTACTACTACTTTGAGCTAAATTTCAGTGAGACCCGTATTTGAGTAAATATTTTTCTTAATATATGTTTAAAATGAGATTTAATAAAATTAGTAAATAATAAGAACATCTTATTAACAAGTCAGAAAATTAAAGAGAAATGAAGTCATAAGAGAAACTCAAAAATATGTAACGAAAGTAAGACGAATTTCATGAAAAAATTTAAACTGTGGTTTCTCAATAACTGTTCGAAATAAACAGTGTGAAATTTGAGGTGATACTCTTGATTAAAGCCAACATGGAAAATAGGTTTCTTCGACATGTCAGAGACGAAATTGTGAAATAGTAATATAAATATAAAAATTATTTATATTCCATAAAACCTATAGCAAGCTAGGCTTACTTAAATACAAAAGAAATGTAAAATAAATAATAACATGCTTTTAATTCCGAAATAGATTCCAGATGCTAAGTAACTTAAATTATTATCAATTAAAAAAATAGCATCCTTAAATTATACTCATGCGATCACAAGCTAATATCTATGTAATATAACTAAATTTTACGTTACGCAGTATAAGTACTACTCAAAATCCATAATATTGTCTAATATTCTATTCTCAAATATAATTAAACCATTCTTACGATTTGATGTTTGAGGACTTGGCATCTGAATAGCTACTTGTTTGTAGTTTGCGGGAAGGGCCATTTTCCAACCTAAAATTTAAATGTTCTAGATTCATAATTCCAAAATCTTGTTCATACATACCTACTTTATAATTATGTAATTAAGCGAAAAGTATTTTGATATTAAATATAATCTCTGTTTAGTGCAGCTTACACACTGTTACCCAGTAAGGAAATTATTGTACCAGAATTATTATATCCTATATATCGTTAAGGTTTTTACACTACAATATTATCACTTAATATCTTAATTTTCTTATTCTTTATTCCAAATTCACTGGGTATAGTTTACAAAAAACTAAAAAAAAATACTCCATTTCTGAAAACAATTTCCAGTTAGCCACCACAGACTCCATATTCCATAGATTTGACAGACTGTCAAATTGTCATGAGGATAACCCATAGATAAATACTAATATGGAATAACCATGAGCAGAAGGAGAAAACATATTAACATATCGCGAATGTAGCCAAGCACTCGCCCTCTGGCGGAGGCAGTGACACTAGCAAAACAAGGTATTTATTCTTCTTACGTGTGGGTCCTTTGTTGTTGTCTCTAAAAGTATTGTATTATATTTTATATAAAATTGGTTATTGAACAAAACACGATACCTGGGCGTGACGATGGACCAGCGTCTCACGTGGAAACCGCACATCGTGGTGACGGTGGCGCGAGCGAAGACCACCAGGGCTAGGCTCTATCCCTTACTCAAAGGTGGAAACACCCTCAGTTTAAGGAATAAGCGAACGCTTATCAAGGTGGTACTTCAACCGCAGCTAACCTACGCCTCCACGGCGTGGGGTCACGCGGCAAAAAGCCACTTAAAGTCATTACAGGCTGTGGAAAACATAGCCCTCCGCACGGCCACCGACGCGCCCTGGTACGTAAGAAACACTGACATATTACGAGACTTACAATACACAAACGCTACACAGACAATAAGACAAAACGCGGAGAAACGATTTGACGTAGCCGCTAG